CCTGCTGATAACTGGCCTGAAACCTAACTGTTTACTTTCCTCCAATTAGCAGATAAACTTTCAAGGAGGGCACTCATCCTTTCTAGGATGAAGCTTCACCCTTATGATCAATGTGGTATTGAGTCAGGCAAAGAACCAAGCACAGAGTTATCCTTCCCAGTCAGAAAGCTGTTCTGCAGAATTTCAGCCGAAGGCTCAGCATGCATTTTAATTGAAGAGAAGGAAAAAAGCATCTGAAATGTAAGAAAGTGGAATGTTTGTGGGTGGCAGGTGCAAAACTAGAGGAAATAACATCAGCAGAAAAATGAAATCTACTGACATTTGTAATTCAACAAATTGTTTTCTCCTTCTCCATTAATGACTAAATTGATAGGGTTGAGTTAATCATTCCATGAATAGGATTACACATATTACCACCAGCCCTTAGTATTATGATCTTGACAACAAGAAAAAAAACAGACATATATTACAAGGCATCAGCAGATAGTTCAGTTACTGAGAAATCCCTTCACAGAAACACAAGCTGACAGTGTGAATGCAACAACTGTACTGAACTTTTTCAGACTTGAGGCCACCACCCAACCTCTTCCTTTTCTGCTTTGCTTCCCCCCTTTGTCTTGGTGCCAGAATTTACTTTTCTATTTGACAAGATTACAAATTGATGGATAAAGGCTTCACCATCTTGTTTATTAGAAACAGTAGCCTTTTTGTCTTATTAGACAGGTTTGACTTTTGAGCAATCCCACTGCTTTGTGTCACCATCCTCTCCCTGGGGAAATTCACTATGACCACTTCTGCTGGGTTATTCATGATGAGTTTACTTCTGAGCATGAACTGATGCAAAAGCCCAATGCTAAGTGCTAATGCCACATTAATATTTTACATCTCCTGTTGGCCAAGATGGGCTGCAGGCACAAACTCAGGTACTGGAAAGGCTTCCCTTGGTTTTGTAACTGTGTTTCAGCTCATCTTTTCTTTACTATTTCAAATATCCTGGGAAAACTCCCCTTCTCCTTTCCTGTGCGGTCTTCCATGGGAAGCAAAAGGTATTGTCAGCATATGACATTCTGAACACCGAGCGATTCCCAAGAGCTCTACTACAATCTTGTGCAGCCTTTATAGGCTGAACAACCCGCTTCTATTGCTCCCAGGTGAGTAAAATAATGTCACTTAATCAGCTGCTACTTGTGCATTCAATTGTTCTGGAACTAAAAAGAACTAAGAATAGTCCTTTTGATTAAGACAGATCCAGGGAAGAGTAAAACCTGGGGAGATCCAGCAAAAGAACTGTTCGGTGAAGTGTTTTCCTCAATGAGAGGCTAATCAGCTTTCCTTCTCCTGCACATGTACACACACATACACTCAGACTCATCCTTCTCATCAAAAAAATGGTAAATGGTTGTTATCTCTTGCAAATACCACGCTGAAATCCAGGACTGATTCAGAGACTTCTTTAATCAGTCTGCACGTTGCATGGGAACACAAAGAATGCATCAGAAGAGAGGATCAAGAGATGGAGACAGCCAAGAATTGATATGAAATTGGGGGAGAAGCATGCTAATGAAGGAGAGAAACATGCTACAAACAAATGTGTGGAGAAGATGAAAATGGGAGGCTAAAAATCACAACAGAGAAAAAGAAATGGCTAAAGAAAAAACTGCAGTGAGGAAAGCAACAATAAGAGCTTAAGGGGAAAACACTTATTTTCTCTGCCATGAGAATATATAGGTTGCTATAGCTGCTGGGGATAAAGCAGCTTTCTTCTCATACAGGAATACATTGAGCATTAAAGAGTTCTGTCGTAAGAGGAAATAGCTCTGTACAATTCTTCAAAAAAAAAGCAGAACAGTCTACACCTTAATACTTTCCTGCATCCACAGCACAAAGACCTGTATCCTGTGGAAATGACCATGTGGGCTCTGATACACAAGCTACAGAGCAGGGCCATCAGGAGCAGGGTCATGATAAGACATACATGCACTATATGAGCAGCTTTCCTGAAGCGAGATTGACCATCACCTCCATGCTATCCTGTGAGCAAATCACTAACTCTTACCCACCCAACACCCTCTTGTCCCCAGCCTGTCCCAGTTAAAAGAAATTATTCAAGCAGCAGTTGAATCTCACTACCAGGCTCTTCTGTTTCCCTGTTCACATGACTGGACAGAAGAGCAATGATGTCTACTGTTTAAAACATGTTTTCCCTCCAGAGACCTCAGAACAAATTTCAAAAACAAAGCAAGACTTCCCACTGAAGAGCTCAGCACCATTACACAGCGTATCACCCTTCTCCTCTATGGAGCCCAATAACAGAGATGTTCTTTCTTGAACACAAAATATATGTATTTTTTAAACATCATGATAAAATTCTGAGTTGGACAACTAACAAAGTGCCACGTCAGTCCAATCTGGATTGGTGCAAACACCACACAAACCTTACGTTTATGTTAAGAACATTAACAACATGCACTTCGTTTCTTACCTGTGATTTCTACTTTCACATTTTCTTCCTTCCTTACAGATTCTTCCAGAGCTGAGTCCTGCATGGAAAGAGATGATCCTACATCATGCTGAGCCACAGGCAGAGATTCCACAAACTCCTCCAGTCTGTTCTGTTCCATCTGTAATTCCTTTTTCTGGCCTTCATTGCCACCACGTCGCGACTTTAAGAAAGCAACTAAACTGGAATCTGCAAGTATTGACAGAGAGAGAAGTGACAGAAAGCCTCAAAATACTTGATATGCCTATAGCTCCTGCTATTTATGTTTTAGCCTTTTCATTCCCATTCCACACAGCCTCTTCTTCTGTACCAACTGTCACTTCTTTTCAAACTGAAGCACTTAACTGCCTCATGACCTCTTTAGCACATAAGCTGGCTACAACTGTCTGGTGAGGCAACACCAGAGAAAGAGCTGATAAATGCCTTTCAAGGTAAAGCAACAACAAAAATCCTAGTTACTCACCCAACTTACAAATAAAGAGATAAATGTTTCTTTCCCCCTTACTGCCACTGAAAAGGCACATTCAAACAAGACTATTCATTGCGGAGAGATTTTCTGGTCTGTGATTTCTGGGAGGAACCCAGGTCTGACAAGTTTGCCTACCCTGTGTGTGGACCGCTCAGTGGCATTAATCTGAATGCTACAAGAATACACCAAACAGACACCAGGAAAAGAACTACCTGCTCTTCACTGAATTACACTGAAGCTGCAGCACATGGTCTAGGTATTGTATTAAGAGAAGGAGATCTTGTTTGTTCTGAACTGACTCCCCATACTGAGAGTCAATTATAGTCTGACGACATCCAGAAAACAGATGTGGCCATTCTCTTCATGCTTTGGAGGAAAAGAGGAACATTTGGGAGGCAGGGGTGTTTTGAAGAACAGATAATATCCCTATGGCTCTAAAATAGGAAAATGTCAGAAGATCATAATTTTGCTATCAGATCTGTTACAGATATCCCACATAATTTTTGATGGGGGATACCTTCTCTCTGAATATTCTCCATCCAGAAGATGGCATTGGGATGCTTATGCCAGAGGTGAACAGTAATAGCCTGTGCATTGTGCCTCTAAAAGGTACAGAGAAACTTCAATAAGCAGCATCAGAGATGTATAAAGTAACAGAATACAACACCTACATTAGTTATTTGTTCTTTGGAGGATAAAGGACAAGTAATTCAGAAGTGCCTAGTATCTGAGAAGTCACCCCTAAAAGGAAATTACTCCCATGTGTCTGAAACAGTTCAAAGAGCGTGCAAGGATCTATCCTACACTTGTGATCACTTTACACTCTCCTCATGATGCAGTTTAAACCTCCCTTGGTGAGGGAGAAGCATTCAGCCCAGTCTGACTGGACCACTCATATTTTTTCCTGAATGCAATCCCAGTCCTCACTTTCTCACAATTCACTGTACAGAGCAAGGAAAAGACTATTCATTACTTCAGCATTTCACATCGTGTCAAAAAAGTCACTGATATGTCAATCTGTGCACAGTATGTCAGAGAGAAAGCTTACTCCTGCCCAGAGTCTGCACAAGCAAAACCAGAACAGTATCAACAACAAGACCCTGAGGACACTGCCCAGCATGGAATTGCCCACCTATCCTCATACTGCACACCACGGAGTCTTATCTGCTTCATAACTAAGAGATTAACTCAGAGACTGGGCAGCTTTAAACACCCACACATTATTCACACTCCTGAATATGGAGAAAAAGTCTCTTTAATCCGCATCTCTGTGCCTGTCCAGTTCCCAAACTCATAAGTAAGTCAGCAATTTAGTTTAGGATTTGCTCCATCGTGCATAATTCCCTAACCACAGATACTTTGGGAACACCAAAATTAGCCCCAGTTTCCTTAACGCCTCAAAGACCAAGAGATCTACAATTTTAACCTATAGGGCATATAAACAAAGATACTGTTTTAGAAAATAATTTATTGTTCAGAAATACTTCAAATACCCTTTAAATATCCTTTTTAAGTTCCCTAAGTATTCACTTCATTAATAGCCCAAAGCATGGAGTGGTGGGGACAAGAAGTAAAGATCACAAATAAGTCACAAGAAGAAAGTACATAAACAAGATATTTTTCAGATACATGCCATTGTTGTAAGCAGTGAAGTTCAAAGAAAAAGAGATCTTTTCCACCTCAGGTAGCTTGGACATCTCAGCTCTCTGAATGAAAGATGTGCCTAATGATTCTGTAAGCAATTATTTTGCATAATTCCTTTGACACCTTTCCAGTTATACCCATGCTGCTTGCAATGAAGTCAAGATCATTAATATGAACTTTAAGCTAAACCCACAGGAGATTTATGCATCTAAAATGCCACTGACACCTAAATTTTATGCTAGGGAATCTGTAATGATGAGAATTTCAAAAACTGTTGTCTGCCACCTACATCTGTACATCTGTCCTTAAAAAAACTATTGAAACCATTGATCAAAAATGGTACAGAAATCACTGAAACCAATGCCAACAAGTTTTACAGCGCTCTAGATCACACAAAGTCTTATCAAACATGCCACATTCAGGGTTCTCCCCGTCCTGCCATCAGCTGTCAGTTACAGGCAATCCCAGAGCACCACTGTGGACAGGGCTCCAAATCAGAGACCTCTGTACCCAACAGTCAGGTAATTAAAACACTTCAAGAAGTTCAAGACTAGCTGTAAGCTTTTCTGCTCTACCAAGTACAGATTCGAACTGAAATCTCCCACATGCCCACACATTTTCCCTATCTGGGTACTGACAGTTCTTACACAATTCTAAGGTGTTTTGGAGGGGAAGACCAAGGGCTCTCTCTCACTTCAGCACTGCTATGGCCACCCCAAGAATAGCTTTGCTTTCTCATCTGCTTCAGAGAATTACATTTTAGGACCTCAATCCATGTATATGTAACCAGGTATTTGATGTGCAAAGTAACAGAGTGCCTGGACCATCTTATCCCACAGCAAAGGGGAGACAGAACAGACTTAAGCTAAGCCCCCTCGCAATGAGGAGCAAGTGCTCTTTAATTCCTTCACACTTAATTCTCACTCATAAGCTACTGACATGACATGGAAGCTAGATTATCTACAGAGGCAACGAGCAGGAATCCCAAGCTCCCATCTTTGATCTGTGAATTTGGTAAGACTTTAGAACATGTACAAATTCAGTAAACTTCCACATCTCTAGAAGAATTCACCCTGGGAAGCACATACCCAGCTGAGCCAGAAGCTTTTCCTGCTCCTGCAGGATCTCTTCCTCAGACATGGACCGCAGCTTCTCCAGGTTCTCTTTGTGAATAGCTTGAACTTCCTGCTCACTCTTTTGGCTTCCAAGACCCTCTCCCGTTATGAGACAAGGCCGCTGAGACATCAAAAAGTCACCAGCTTTTTCTGTATGATCTAGCAGAGAAAGCAGTTAGTGATTTAAGTGTCTACAGCAACATGAATATCACAATTTTGTCATTATGAGGCTTGCATTTTTTTATTTTTTTTTGCATTGGTAGTCAAGGAGTAAAGAAGTTCAGTTTAGCTTCAAACAACATTAAAATATTTGGCCTTTAACCCCATGCCACAACAAAACGTCATTTTCACCTTTTTTCTTTAGGAGTTGGGTGAGGGATGAGGGGAAAGGAATTTTGTTTCTTTAATACAAAGCAAAGGCAAGAAAAGGTAAACTGGAGCATAATTCAAAATTGATGAGTCAGAGCGTTCTTCCAAGTTAGTGAATACTAGATTCTTTCTCTGTCCATTGTGAAGCCACATTTATATGTCAGGCAAACCCTGACCTAGTAAATATCTGTTGAGTGAGACAGAGAATTAAAATTATGATGTAACCCAGTTTCTGGAGTGATACAGGATCCATTCTCAATGCAGGCCTGTTTGCTTCTAATAACGTCCTGTATCCACCTTTATGGGTTAAACATATTAGAAGTTCCAGCAAGGGGGGCATTTTTCCCACCCTGAACAAAATCGAGTCTCCTTTATCACCTGAACGAAATCCTTTTTCAAGGCTCATTTCATTTAACTCTAGCAGCGGGGTAACATGCTCCTGTGGTCAGAGCAAGACCCTCCAGCTTTCCTGTAGCCCACTATACAAGGACCTGACTTAGTGGCTTCATTCCTTATGTTTTGTTCATGTGCTCCATATAGTGACTTGGAACATCCCTGTGACCCTAAACCAGCCAACCCTGAAAGGATCAAACCCCTGTTCAAACAGCAGTAATCATACACATCATCACATCAGTAAGGTTTGATGTCATTTCCACAGCAGCTGCCTTGCATGTTGAGCAGAAAGAGATGAGAAGCCAGAGTGACCTGTTAAAAGATACAGGAAGCTTCTCACCATCAGCAAAACTGAGCTGAGGATTACCAGGCACAAACACTTTGTTACTACAAGAAACAGAGCTCCCCCTCTTCTCTTGCTTCCAGTGATCCTGCCACAACAACCTTGCTGAGAAGGCCAAGCCATTTTCTGATCCCTTGGTTGTGCTACCACATTTTCAAAGCATTCTGCTTCAAGAGGATCACAGCTATAGGGCTTCTGCATTGCCCTTTGAGATTTCTCAGACAGAAGCACACATACACAATTGTAACAGAATATACAGTAAGCACAGGATATAGACCTGGATGGTGGATTTGTGCACATGCAGCACAGCACATCTCAGGGTTCTCTTACCAACAATCTGACAGGGGTCAGGGCAGACAGAAACCTTAGCCAAATGGCAATAACCCTTAAATGACACCTGGCCTCTATTTCAATGTGAAAAAGAGGGAGGTAGGGAAAAACCCAGACATGTGGTAGTCTTAAGCAAATAGGAGATTTCAAGACAAACAAACAAACAAACAAACAAACAAAAAGCCTGGAGATGCTGGTAGCAGTTGAATTGGTTTCATCTTTCCTTGTCACGCTGCTGTCAGACAAATAACTGCTGGAGATAGCACTGACTCATCAGCACCACCTCACAGCATTCCTTACGGAGCAAAGCCACGGTCTCATGGCAGTGGATCTGGTGACAGAGGACTGAGCTTTCAGCTTCTAGGTAGGAGTGGGAACCTGCATCACAGTGGTCTCAAACAACTTCATCAGACACAAGAATCCTCTTCCTAAAATTGTGGAAATCAACGATGAAACAAGAAAAACTTTACATATAATAAAAACAGAGGAAAAGGAGGACAAGAACCTTGAAAAATAAATCTATTTGGCCCTGTGTGAAGCAAAAAGGAAGTGAGTGAGAAAGCTAACCCAATTTTCAGAATGTTAATTTGGGTCTCAGACCATTTGTCTCCTTGTCATGCCACAGACATTCCAAGTGACCTTGAGATTCCTAAACTGAGGACAACAGGGCTACCCTAATTTAAAGGTAAGGTGCACTGATGTTATGGTTACTAGGCTATGTAAATACGGTAGGCTGGATAAGTAGAACCTTCTCCACTTACCATCCCTGATGCAGGGGAGAGGTGCTTCTCCTGCTGGTCCCTCAAGATCCAGAACATCCGGAGCAGCTGATCTTATCTGCACACACTCGGCAGCAGAGGGAGCTGCTGCTGCCTTTTCAGCAGCTCTTCTCACTGCCATCTTCTGTGCAAAGATGCTTTTTCTTCCAGATCCCACCTTCACCTGCAAACAGGAAAGCCATGTGTCACCACTTTCCTCTCCAGACTCCCCCACACACCTGCCACTAACAAACGTATAGATCTGATCCTAAAGACACCCTCAGATCAGACTTTGGGACGTGACACACAGAAGCTGCTGGCAGCCACCTGCCCTTTTCCGTGTGTGTGCTATTCCTTTTTTAACACACAGTTTAAAGGACAGAGAGACAAAAACATGACTGTTTTTGCTACCTAGAGAAGGAAGATGACTCATTATAAGTGAAGTCAAGCCAGGCAGTACACCTAAACTATCACCGAACACAACAGTTCCAGCTTCCCTGCTGTTTGGAAACCCTGCATAGCTGAATACTTTGCATTTCTGAGGATAAATGGGACTGTACTGTATTGCACTCACCACATGCTTGGAACAGGCTTCTTATAAGGTGATTAGAGAGCAGCAGGGTGAAGAGATTTACACAGCAAGAAGTGGGCAAGGAGTGCTAAAATAATCCTGACTAAATTACTGTGCTGCTTGCCTAGGCGATGGAAGGGCATGGATCTGAACAGCCTTGCACAGGATGCACAGGAAATCCAAAGCAGACTAAGCAAAAACTTGCACGTCCTTAGACCAGAGAAGAAGCTTAAAAGGCAGTCTGAACATTTGGTAGCTGTTTTGTGCACTCCTGCACCAGGTAAACAGAACTGGCAGTTTAAAAATATTACTCTTTCCTTTCAAAAAAGATGTCCTTCGAAATAAGCTACCTCTTCAAAGCAACCAGAGCTATCAATCACACACCAGCTCCCAGCATCTGACTCCCACTCAGCTAGCAGCTCTTGCTACTACAGCAACGACTGATGATAGCAGCCATGCCTTCCAGTTTTACAGCCTCAGAAAAATAATTATGGCAAAATCACAAAAGCTGCAAAACATAATATGTGCAACCATACTCAAGTATCATGCCACGAGGAATCAGGTGCAACTTCATTAAGTATGGACTTAATCAAACCTAATTGGACAAATTAACAGAGATTGTTCCTCAGAGAAAAACAAGCAAACAGGATCAATTCTACTACAACAGTGAGGATTTGATCCACCTCATTAAAGTTAGCTGAAGGGGATCACGTTTTTTCCTAAACCAAAAGGATTCCAATGTTATTTAACTGCAGGGTATGGACTGCCTACTTGATGGCAGCTTGGTGGGAAAACTCTCTCCTACGCTAAGGTGGTAATGCCAGAGATATGTTGAGCCAGCTCCAGCGTGCCAAGTCACTTATTTTGAGCCCCACCACCCACCAAGCGTTAGGCTTTGTTGTGGGGAAGTTTTAATAGTTAATGAAGGTAGCATAAAACAGCTGTTCCCAATCTTACCTCACTTTTTACCTCAGAGCGGTGAAACGTCCTTGGAAATGGGTCTCCCGTGGGCACTGGCATGGTTACTGCTATTGCACTTGTGTCTCGTTCCTGCAGCAAAAAATTCATACCCTGTAGAAACTAATGCAACAGCCAGACATGTTCAGACCATTTAGCTAAGAGTGGACTCAAAAATCTCTCAGCTCTGCAGCTCACAAGCTTTCTGCTACATCGCTGTCAGGCTCAGAGTACCTTGTGCTTATTTAGAGCCAAAGTGAGGCTCTTTTCCAAAAGGCTGGGCTGCCAAACTCCACGCACCACTCAAAGAGTCACATAAAGTAAAACTCGGGTCAATGCAGAGCAATGAAAACATCTCCCTTAAAGTCTAGAAACTCACCCAAGTCCGTACATGCAAGCAGTGTGACCTGTAGGCAGCCTGGACTGGAGAGCAGATTCAAATCCATTATTTAACTGACAGCAAAAATATACCCAAAGAACTTTTTCTTTCAAGGTACTCCAGGACACTTGATCTACAGTGCCACAACTGCTTCATCACACTGTAGAAATAAAAAGCAGCAGCAAAACCCTTCATCCCTCACCACTGCTCAGTTTGCAGCATTCACAGAAACACCATATAAAAACCAGACATACAATAATTTTGCTGAAGACTGCTGTAATGTGTCGATCATGACTCTCCAGTCTTTCCTCTGGATCTTCATCCTCAAAGTGGACACAGGCACTTTTGACCTTGGACTTTTTTGGAGGAGCTGGAGTTAGAGCCGGGAGAGTATCAGGAAAATCTGTGGAGCGGAAGTAATAAGAAAAAATAGTAGTCACGTTACTCATATATAACTACTGTGCAATAGATACCAGACCAAAGGCTCCCTAATAGCACCTAGGATGGCTTTGATGAGAAACAAAAAAGATGAGAAAGCAGTAACACAATTAAAGACTATTCTGTCTCTGACTTGCACTGCGTGATGGTGAGAAATATGCTCAAGAATTTTATGTATTGGCAACCGAGGTCTTTTCAAAGGGTATTGAGACTTGACTGCAAGTATTAAGTGAAGAAGCAAGGATGTAGAGAAACAAATAGTGTCCTTGCAGGTGGTGTTCAGGCACAGAAAAGCACATTTCCACTGCCAGCTTTAAGAGTGAGTGATTTCTATGATCATGAGCAAGTCAAGGCCTCCTTTTCACTAGCTATAAACTGGGATTGTATTACCTTCTCTGGAACTAAGCACTGTACGATTTAAATTGTTGCTTTTAAGAAAGCACCTTGAGCTTCTGAGACTATTAAGCACACGACAAAAGTGCTACAGTTACTACCAACAGAGGAAAACAAAACTGCAGGAAGGAGGCTTATCAAGCCAGACAGGCTGGCTGAAAGCTGAAGCTGTTAGCAGAGCTAAATCTCAAAGACACCGAGAACAGGGTCTGGATAGATGGCAAAATAAGCAGTGAGTATCCAATGGGGACAAATTACAGAAAATACCTCTTGTGTTGAGGCTGACAAGGCACCACAGACAGCTGACAAATGTAGACAAAGGCAATGTGCTGAAAAGGTGGTTCTACTGGATGTCAGTCACATTAGGCAGCTACATTTTCCAACCAGGCTAAGAACAAACAATACTGCAAGGAGGACACACATGCAGGGCAAAAGCAGCACTGGGTTGAGAGAGAGGTGAAAGGGCAAGCACTGAGCAACACTGAAAGGGACAGAGAAACATAGTAATTCAAAGAACCCCACAAGGGAAATTACCATCCAACATGACAACATCCTTGCTGTCCTGTAGTGGGGGTCTCTCAGCATCTGCACTCCCTTCCTCCCCCTTCCTCTTGTCCGCTTTCTTCACAATCTTCACTGCAGGTGAAGCTCTGGCTGCCAGGAACTGGTTTTGAAAGTGCAGCAGGTCTTCCTCGGACTCCCCAGGCTTTGGTCTCGACAACATCCTGCCTTCCTGCTCTTGCAATCTGGACCTGTGTGCTGTTCACATGGAACCTATTGGAGACATGGAAAACTGGTTACAGAACTGCATTTCCTGGGGAGAGGATGGGGACAGCAAGGGAAAACTACTCATTTTTGTCCCACTCTGCTGTTCCTGTGTGTACTGCAGCTGCTCTACTTCACCATCACCCCAGGACACAACTAGTTGCACCAGAGTCCCAGGCAAACTGTTTACTTTGTTCTTCATTGCTGAACAACACGCTACTAGACAAGCCAACACCTGGTCTACCAGCCAGCTGGGAGCAGAATGGCATCCAGCCAGCAAAAAATCCAGCCAACAAGTGTATCACTGCCAGAATGCCAACAACACAGCCTTGGATTTGCAAAGCCACAGAAGCACCTGGTCCCAGCAAACAGATTGGACTTACTCTCATACCAACATTAACCAAGAACATCAGAGGCACAGGAACATGCAAATCTACCCCCTCCAGCACACTATCTTCTCAGCATCCTAGCATTAGCATCCCATCAGGATGCAAGAGCCTGTCCACTTAGCTTTGGACAATGCACTCACTCTCACTGCTTGCTCTCCTTCTCACCCAAATCTCCCAAGTGAAAAAAGTTTTTCTTCCTTATCCAGTCCTCCTGCTTTAGTTCTCTCTCACTTTTTCACTGCCCTCTTACTGGCAGAAGTCACACTATTTCCAAGCATTTTCATTCACTGCCCGGGCTAGTTTTGGGTTGAAAGCCAAAGGTGGTATTTATTAAGATTTTTACCTCTGTGCATTTGAGAACTTACTAGGAAAGCAACTATTCCACCTCCTATCCACTGGGCGTGAAAACATTTGTGAGTATTACTCCCCACCTCTCACTCCCATAGCCTGGGACCATTAATCCATTTCTCACAGGCAGGAAGTAAAGTGTTTGCAAATACATTTCACACTAATTGAATCACTGATCAGCACTAATGCTACAGACTTGACATCCTCCCACACTTGGTATGTTGAAATATTTTGTACATATTTGATCTCTTCCACTTTTAAAAGCCCATCAGGACTCAATGATGATTTACTGTGAAGTTGGAAAGGAAAGTGGAAATTGATTTTTAAAACTACAATTATCTGCCATATGGACAGGCTGTATGCATGAGAAAATGCAAAGCTTGGAAGTGAATCTCTGTCTTAATCTTAAACCAAAACAAAGTTCAACCATTTTGCGGGCACAGCCACTGCCCCGAAGCCCCTGTTTTGTCTTATGCTATTACCATACTTTATGGTAAATTAGGTGGGAAGATATCTTGTGGGAAAGATACTAAGAGACACAAGAATTACCTCATGCAGTATTTATGACCTACACTTGGAATATTTATACTATTTTCAGGGATCTCGTTCTTGACTAAGGTTGATTAGATGTGATGCTGCTGGTTCCAGCAAGTTCTATATTTGGTTGTTGGGGTTTTTTTTTTAAATCAAGGTCTTCATGTAAAATCATCAACCATGTAAGACCCACTGAAATTATTTTTTCTGCCCCTCATTTTGTGCAAAAGCTGGACTAAAATCATTCAGACTGAAGAGTTTTGTGTATCAAAACAAAGTGGATTTTCAGAGGTTTCGAGGTTTCCAGGGACTCCTTCACTTCAGCACTTCAGGGTTGAGGAACCAGGCCTCTTCATCCGATGCCAGCCAGCATCACGAGTTAGTTGCTCGATTTCAGACGCCTCAAAACACTGACCTTAATGAAAGCTGTCAGCTCAAGAGTCCCAGAACAACAACTTCCATTTACACCAGACCTACATGCGGCACAAGCAGCAGCGAGGGGAACGTCCCTGTACCCTCTGAACAATAAAACCCTTCCCCAGCACGCAGGGAAAATGCCCAGCTTCTGTGCCAGCGCTGTCAAGGACATCTGTGGAACACAGCCACTAGCAAAGGCTCCTTCAGGGCAGGAAGGGAAGGGAGCACCCTGCTATGGTGCCTCACTACTGTCACAGAAGGATTTAACACAAAAACACCTGGGATGTCACTGCAGTTCTGACCGAGGCTGCGAGTGCAGAAACACTCCCCCTCAGCCCAGTTCCCTTGCAACTGCACAGCAAAAACTGCCACTTCTGCAGACAGCTCCTTTTTTTGTGCCCTTCTAGCATAAGCACACCCCTACTTGCTGTTTATTTGTGGAGCTTTCTGCCACAATAGGAGCTCCAATAGTTGAGTTGATAGGCATAAGCAGCACCGCACGCATCAGAAGCCAAGTGTTTCATGCCCTATCATCACAGGCTCCAAAGCCCAAATGAGGATGATGCTGGGATTAACAGACACAAAACACGCAGTTATAAGCAAAGTGTGCTGCTAATCTTTCTGCAATAAGCTTCTTCCACGCAGGGATGTGCATGCCCTTGTCCGAGTCTCTACGTATTAAAAATGTTAATCAAAAATACAGCAGGCCTTGAAGCTGCCTTCATCTGTCTGGGGAACTGTCAGGCACGAGAAGCCAACTACGCAGTCATTGCCTAGAAAGGTTAGATGTTGTTCCAGGAACCATTTCCTCAAAGCCACTCCTTCCTCCACATGGATATAGATGCCACTCAAATGTAAAGAGCTATAAGATGGTAATACAGAAGTGGGCACTAGTTTGGTTCAAAAATAGATCAAAGCTGTAAATGTGTTCTTTCCGTGTTCTAACTGGATCTAGAAATTTAATACAACCAAGGCCTCTGACTTGGTCCTTCTGCAGTCCAATGAGGAAGGAATTGCTTGTATACATATGGCACATGCAGACAGAGAGAATGTAGTGAAAATAGTTTGCTTTCTAATGGTACCTTTTTCCATGTCCCCTAGAAGCCATCTAAGCGCATTAGCAGCACTCACCTGGCCATCACAAGGAGAAATTCTTATTCACTTGTGCTCAGAGAAAACATGCAAGAAAAATAACACACTACTGACAATCAGCACTAACCCCAGCATCATACGGTCTGGTTATCTCCAGTCTTGCAACTGGCTACTTAAAAGCTAACTGCACACAAACTGTTTCCCTAGAGGGACCATCACAGAAT